AAGGGAAGGGAAGGGAAGGGAAGGGAAGGGAAGGGAAGGGAAGGGAAGGGAAGGGAAGGGACCTTAGGAATTCAGAGCAAGCTCTGTGGGCATGCAAGGTTCTCTTTGGATGAACAGAAGTTTTCTATGCTGCCAAATTTGGTCACAAGTTTACCTGTATATACAGCTATTTCTTACCCTCCTGGTCTGAAATCCTCCCATCTGAACACTGAATGCAATTATAGCAGCAGAATTGTTCCCCTTCCTTCTTGGACTTGGTATACCCTAAACGGCAACGATCATTACAGAGAGAAAGGGGCCGTGCCTAAACAAAAACGGAAGACTAGAGTTAGTTTGAGCTTGCATCTTACTAGTCAATCCATGTTTATGGCTTAGTGAGATGGGATGATAGAATGAGAAGGTATTTATTTATTTTGTTAGTATTATTGTTCTGAGATAATACTCCATGCTAAGTTTGTTTTTATTTTTACAGGTTTTGCTGCCAACCCAAATACAACAACTCTGGGTGAGTTACCGTCAATAATAATAACAACAACAATATCAATACTCCATTAAGAGTGAGTCCAATTACATTTGATTGCTTTGAAGGCTCACTGAAGTAAAACTAGGTTCTCTGATATTCTAAATGGTGTAATGGAGGGGCCTTTACAAACCTTAGGGTAGGAATTGCCCAAAAGAGGGGACCACCATAAGGAAGGGCTGTCATCTCCTCTATGGCCCCTCTTATGAGGAGTCTTAGAAGACCTTCCTGAGATGATCTCACTGGATGGGGTGATTCAATTCTGGCAAGGCAGCATTTGATGTAAGGTAGCATTATCCATACAAATTTTTGTTGATCCCGTGTACCTACATGAAAAGTCTTATGCATTTGCATCTTCACTACCTAGTAATGGTTATGAAAAATATAAGTATTATATTTTATTTCCTAGTTGTTAAAGTTTTATCAGCTTTTCTTGCTTCCAGTTTGTTTTTCCATTACCATGTTTATTTGTTATTTATTTATTTATTTCTTTTTAGTTGCCTGTCAAGCTTCCCCATGAATTCTGAAAATGTAGGATTCAAAATAACTCCATGCTATCATTTCTCAGATTATAATTTTATACTGAAATCATGCTTGGATCATGCTTTACTAATTGATAAAAAGCATAAAGCTAAACAAACACAGACTATAAAGGAACAGGATCTTTTTTCCACATTTCATTTTACATTTCTAGGAACTATATGAACGTGATCCTCCTTCTCCTTTTTCTTCCTTCCAGTGTGTCCTGAATCCTGGACAAGTCCCTGCAGTTTTGTTGGCAAGGCTTTTCAGAAGTGGTCTGCCCTTGCCTCTTTCTTCCTAGGGCAGAGGGGTCCTAGGTCCTAGGACCAAGGTCACCCACCTGGCTTCATGCCTAAGGTAGGACTAGAACTCACAGTTTCCTTGTTTCTAATCTGATGCCTTAACCATTACACCAAACTGGCTTTATCTTCAGGAGGATCATATTTAGCTTCCAGCCCCTTCAAAACATTGTTTGAACCAAGTTTTTAGTTCCCAAACAAAGAATATTCAGTATTTCTAACAATGAAGTTCACTGGGCATTCAGCTTAATTAAAGAGTAAATGCTCTCCTATATCCCATTTGATATGTGCAGTTCTAGAAATATTGAAACTATGTTTTGACCATTGTGGGCCACACCTTGATATAGTTTCAAACAAATCTCAACCCTACCTGGTTAAATATCCCAGGCCACACAATGGCATCTTCCTGGATAGTGAGGATTTCACCTGAAGACTCCTTTGTGTCTATCTTACCAATGCTGACTCTAATAAAAGATTGATTGGGGAATATTATCCAATTTAAAATATTGAAACCAGCTACTAATTCCCCATTGTGATCCAAAGAAATCTCTTCCTCAGCACTGTTATTGAATGAGGTGCTTCTCAGATAATGGTGGAGCTAAATTGGGAGAAAAGAGAAAAGTGTGACCCAACTGAATATGACATAGAAATAATCTTTTCCAGGTGGAGATGACCAATAGATAGATAGATAGATAGATAGATAGATAGATAGATAGATAGATAGATAGATAGATAGATAGATGCACAAGACCAAGCCATAAGAACAATTGCGTAGA